TGAAAGGTAATTTACTCACAAGTTCCAGGCATTAGGACCTGGACATCTTTTTGGAGGGGCTAGGGAAGGACATTGTTCTGCTGACATCTCAGATCTTTTCTTATCATTTATTTTTTTTTAACTTTTATTTAATGAATATAAATTTCCAAAGTACAGAATATGGATTACAATGGCTTCCCCCCCATAACGTCCTTCCCACCCGCAACCCTCCCCTTTCCCACTCCCTCTCCCCTTCCATTCACATCAAGATTCATTTTCGATTCTCTTTATATACAGAAGATCAGTTTAGCATACATTAAGTAAAGATTTCAACAGTTTGCTCCCACACAGAAACATAAAGTGAAAAATACTGTTTGAGTACTAGTTATAGCATTAAATCTCAATGTACAGCGCATTAAGGACAGAGATCCTACATGAGGAGTAAGTGCACAGTGACTCCTGTTGTGGACTTAACAAATTGACACTCTTGTTTATGGCATCAGTAATCACCCTAGGCTCTTGTCATGAGCTGCCAAGGCTATGGAAGCCCCCTGAGTTCACTGACTCTGATCATATTTAGACAAGGCCATGGTCAAAGTGGAAGTTCTCTCCTCCCTTCAGAGAAAGGTACCTCCTTCTTTGATGACCCATTCTTTCCACTGGGATCTCACTCACAGAGATCTTTCATTTAGGTTTTTTTTTTTCCCCCAGAGTGTCTTGGCTTTCCATGCCTGAAATACTCTCATGGGCATTTCAGCCAGATCCACATGCCTTAAGGGCTGATTCTGAGACCAGAGTGCTGTTAGGACATTTGCCATTCTATGGGTCTGCTGTGTATCTCACTTCCCATGTTGGATCGTTCTCCCCTTTTTGATTCTATCAGCTAGTATTTGCAGACACTAGTCTTGTTTATGTGATCCCTTTGGTTCTTAGTCCTATCATTACGATCAATTGTGACCAGAAATTGATCACTGGGACTGTGAGATGGCATTGGTACATGCCACCTTGATGGATTGAATTGGAATCCCCTGGTATGTTTCTAACTCTACCGTTTGAGGTAAGTCATCTTAAGCATGTCCCGAATTGCACATCTCTTCCCTCTCTTATTCCCACTCTTATATTTAACAGCGATCACTTTTCAGTTAAGTTTCAGCATTTAAGAAGAATTGTGTATTGATTACAGTATTCAACCAAAAGTATTAAGTAGAACAAACAAAAAAAATACTAAGAGGGATAACATATTAAGCTGCTCATCAACAGTCAGGGTGAGGGCTGATCAAGAGGGAGAGGGAAAGGGGAGGGTTGCGGGTGGGAGGGAAGTTATGGGGGGGGAAGCCATTGTAATCCATAAGCTGTACTTTGGAAATTTATATTTCTTAAATAAAAGTTTGAAAGCAAAAAAAAAGAAAAAAAAGAAAAAAAAAGTAATAATTGAAAAAATGACTTTTACTATAAAAATTTAAAAGTAGAATTCATTTTATAACAGAGTTCTGATCAAGTCCCAGCTTTATGCTTCTGATCCATTAAATAAAAGTTTAAAAAAAAGTCACTTCATATTGCTCTGAAAAGCTAGTAAAATAGATGAATTTAATTTTTCAACTCAATTTTCAACCTTACTAGCTTTATGAGTTTTGAGGAGATTTCACTGAGGATGGTGATAATTTTAGCACATTATTTTGTTTTTGAAACATACAGAAATGCTTCAGAAACAATCAGTCACAAACTTCCCAACAGCATCTTCATTTTTGATGAAATACTATCATCCTTATCAGGACTACTGTTCTTTACCAGGGAGACCTAAAATCTCAGAATATGCCTACTTCTCATGACACTAAGCATTTGCAGTGAAAATTTGTCTGTTCTTCAAAGTGTCTTTGACTGTGATTCTCTAGTTGCCACACAGGATGATGTCACTGTCATAGAAAAATGCCATTTCTGCTTACCTGGCTTAAAAAATTAAAAACTAACAGACTGCAAATATGTATACTGAGCTTTTTGATATCTTTCCAGGAATAATTAGGAACATTTTGGGAATCAGTTGATCTTCGACAATAGCACTGACTGGTTATTTAGATAATAAAAGATAAATTAATAGAGTGATTTTAGTTTTATTGGCAAGTATAGTTTATATTGCAACTCTGTAGTTTAAGCTGAGCTATAAATGATCTAAAGAAAGCCAGTATCAGAACACTTCAAATGTTTTCTATATATATTATAGCTGGAAATTCATTTTTAAAAGAAATATAGTATTCTGAAAATCTAATCTTTTGAAACAATTTATCCAATTGTTAAAGTAAATTAAGATGGAGACCAGGTCTGAAAAATCCCTGATCAGACAAAGTCAGTTAGGCTTGTAAATAATCTCCACCTTGCTTAAACTGCAAACATAATGAAACTTAACTTGGCCCATTTCTTGTAAGTGCTTATATTACTGGAAAATAGAACTTAAGCTCAACCAATCAGAAGCAGCCAATGAAATGACATTTATATAACTAGGTACTTCCCAGTGGGACAAAATAAGACAATGGTATATAGGAAACCTATCAAATATTGTCTTCGCTTTACTTCTTTGTTTACCCTATAAAAGCCTCACCTTTGTATACCCTTGGTGGAGTTCCTCGACTACCTCTAATTTGGAGCTGATTCACAAATCACTGCTCAAGTAAACTCTTTTAAATATTATTGCCTCAGTTTACCTTTTAATATAATAAACAACCAGCAGCATCCTCACACTTTCCACGGAGACACATTTATGTAAAATCCTAGAATTTTCATAAAGAAGCTATTTCTTTTTTTTTTTCAACATTAATTTAATAAATATAAATTTCCAAAATGCAAATTTTGGATTATAGCGGCTTCCCCCCCACACAACCCCTCTCCCATCCGCAACCATCCCATGTCCCTTTCCCTCTCCCATCCCATTCTTCATCAAGATTCATTCTTTTAAAGAAAGAACACAGTTAAAAGTCCTGCATTAACCTTTTTTTTTTTTTTAAGGAAAAGTACCTGGGACTTGAGGAAGAGAGTTATTAACTAGGTATTACCCAGTCCTACATGAAATTGCTACAGTTAGATATAACTGTTAAGAAAAAAACCTGGATACAACCATTAGAGGATACTTGGCCTGTGTAAATAAGAACATGTGTTTTAACTTTATGGCAATAGGCTGTGAGCTTTTTGCCACTTGGTCTCTTAAGGCTCCCCAAAATGTGTTAATGTTCCAGGTGTCCACTTAAGTCACTTAGTACCAATATAAAGTTTTTTTTTTTCCTGTCTAAAATTCCAAGATTTAGGCTGACTTTATTGAACTAAACAAGTTTATTGGACTAAAGTGATGTAGTGCTCCATAATGTTGCAAAAAGGGTTCTGTGCAATTATTTAAAATTAAAATATCAAATTTGCTTTATAATTACTGAATTTTACAAGTTTATTTTTCAAAGTAAAATCATTTTTATAATAAATAATTCATTACTTTATCAGTCTGTTGAAAATGGTTATACTCAATGGAAGTTTATCCTCATCTTCCTAACAACCAAAGACTCATAGAAATATTTAAAGTCAAATTTAGTGTTTTCCTTTACTGTATTTCACAGAATATGAAACTATTTTATCTCCTTCTCTTATGTATGTCAGCATATTAAATGATCTGACAAATCTTGCAACAACACAAAAAAATCAGTGTGATTTTCTTTAACCCAGAATTCCCAAAAGCTATCTGAGTATGTAACCCATTGGTACCTCAGTGAAGCTATTAAACTCATGTAGAAAATAATTTAAAAGCCTTGGCGTAGAAAAGATACTTCCCCAAGTTTTGTCTGCTTCATTTCTAATTCTTAAATAATTTGCATCCAAAATCTTCAAATCTATATATTTCACAATGTTAAGCCCCCTATATCTCCTTTTTTTATTCCTTAATAGAAGTCATGATACCTCAGCTTTTATGTAATACGACTTAATGTAGTGAATAGTCACTAAGAGACCGTGCTGAGCACTAAAAACACTGTTATATCATCTCTTATACTAAAATCCTACTATTTTTTCTTATAAATTACAATTTATATTTACCTCATTTATTTTGGACCTTCATTTTTTCAAAAATACAGTGATATTTACTTGTGATAGTCAATACTAGGTCTATCAGTCTAGAGAATGTAGAAGTCCCATGAGTGAGAAGCCACTTTAAAACACTTTGAATTGTTTCATGTTGTCTTGTTAAGATAGAATTCTTGGAGCCAGCACTGTGGTGTAGCTGGTAAAGTCGCCACCTGCAGTGCTGGCATCTCATACGGGCTCTAGTTTGAGTCCCAGCTACTCCACTTCCGATCCAGCTCTCTGCTATGGCCTGGGAAAGCAGTGGAGGATGGCGCAAGTACTTGGGCCCCTGCACTCATGGAAGAAGCTCCTGGATCCTGGCTTTGGATCAGCCCAGCTCCAGCTGTTATGGCCATTTGGGGAGTGAACCAGGGGATGGAAGATCTCTTTATCTCTCTCTGCCTCTGCCTCTCTGTAACTCTGCCTTTCTGATAAATAAATACATCTTGAAAAAATATATTAAAAACATGGAACTCTTTTATAACATCTGTGTGACTCTACCATGTCAATCCTGCCTTCCCTCACTCCCATGCCATTTTTGCCATGACATTCCTCTTCAACAATGTGTTTCAAAGCAAAGCACTTTAAATTCATTTTCTTGTTAAGACAAGATAACTTTCCTTTAAGGAACATGTAATGAAATAGGGTCAACTCACTCCTAACTCTTATTGCAGTAAGAAACAATATCGTTTCATTGGTATATACATTAGCTTAAGCTGAAAAATTAAGTCATGCTCTTTTATATTTTGAATTTCCGGTAATTTTTTTTTTATTTTAGGATTAATTTTGTTTTCCAGAACATGTAACTGATGTTTTATTTGGTTAATTGCTTATGAAAAATAATGTAATGCTTTTACTGCTACAGGCTTATGATTACAGAAAATCTTTATTCTTATTTATTCATTCAAGAGGAAGGAAGGAAGGAAGGAAGGAAGGAAGGAAGGAAGGAAGGAAGGAAGGAAGGAGGAAGAGAGAGAGGGAAAGGGGGAGAGAGAGAAGGGGAAGAGGAGGAAGATAAGGAGGAAGAGGAGGGTAGAGGGAGAGAGAGAAATCATGCTCCTATCTTTTCTTTCACTCCCCTCAAAACCCACCAAGCCCAGGGCTGGGTTAGGCAGAAGCCAAGAGCTGAGAACTCAGTCCAGATCTCCCATGTACATGGCAGAAACCCTATTACCTGAGCCATCACCACTGCCTCTCAGTGTCTGCAGGAAGCTGAAATCAGGAGCAGAAACTAGGAATGAAACCAAGGTACTCCAATGAGGGACACGAGCATCTTAACTGCTCTGCCAAATACTTGCCCTCAAAAAAGAAGTTTTATATTTCAACTTATATACAGTTGCATTGCAGATAAGTATCATAGGGTCATAAATGAAAGGCTATCTACTGCAAAAAATTACATTAAAATAAAGTTAAATTCTGTGGGTGAATTCAATGAAAATGGAGTCAAGAAGAAACATGAGTAATGAGCATCTTTTTTTGTTAAAGATTTATTTTATTTATTTAAAAGACAGAGTTAGAGAGAAAGGTAGAGACAGAGAGAGAGATCTTCCATCTGCTAGTTCACTCCCCAGATGGCCGCAATAGCCGGAGCTGCGCCAATCCGAAGCCAGGAGCCAAGAGCTTCTTCCAGGTCTCCCATGTGGGTGCAGGGGCCCAAGGACTTGGGCCATCCTCTACTGCTTTCCCAGGCCATAGCAGAGAGCTGGATCAGAAGAGGAGAAGCCGGGACTAGAACTGGTGCCCATATGGGATGCCTGCGCTTCAGGACAAGGCTTTAAACCGCTTCTTCACTGCGCCAGCCCCAAGTAGTGAACACTTTCAAGGGCTACAAAAATAGATAGCTTGTTTGTATTTTTACATGGGAAATGGTGGATACTACCTGTGATATTTAGATTCTACTGGATACCTTTTAAATAGTGGCATACAATTCACAAGTATAACAACCTTAATAACAATTTAAATTATGGTAAAAATATTGGAGATAAACTTAAAAGATAAATAAGGGTGGTTTACTTATTTTTTTTAAATTCTTTTATGGGTTAAATGAAAAGAATGTTTGACGACCATTGGTTTGCGGGGAGGGAGTAAATAAAAGCACGCGGAAAATGCATCAAGACTGTAGAGGCACTAAATGTCCATGTAGGTTACTGAATATGAATTCAAATGAGACCAGTTACTTTTGCAGGTTTTCCTCAAGCCATGTTCAGCACTGCAAGGGCAGGTGTGGAGAAAGGAGAGTTGGAGTTTTGCCAGGCAACAATAAAGTAAAAATAAGAGCAAGTGAGTGGATAATGTCTGCAAGAGGGCAATTATAATATTAGACCATGGAATTTAGACATAGAATGGCAAATAGGGGAAGGGAGACTGTGGGGAATAGTTTTAAAAGGTGCTAAAAATAATGGGCTACAGGTGTCATGGGGGTAGATAATACATCTAGACAACTAAGGAGAGAACTGTGGGGCGTTCAGTGGTAGTGATGAGAAAGTAGGGAGCTTGGAATTGAGATTATGGAGGGATCACAAATGTTAGCAACTGAGGTTCTAGGGGTTCTGTTCATGGCATGAGATGGGTGAGATTGACAGGTGAACAGGGTCATTGGAGGAGAGGAGGTCTAGGAGTCAGGGGCCTCACGGAACGGCTTACCTGAACCAGCAAGAGTCCTGAAAGGCACACAGATAAATACAGAATAATGGAGACCCAGACGCCTAGACTTAAAGGCTATGTATAGGACAAAGAAGCAAAAGTGGCATAGTATGAAGACATGAGCTGAGAGGCTGAGGAAGACAAAAATTGCTGGTAAAAGCAGGTTAATGAGTATGAAGGTGTGAAACGCACCACCCCTGGAGAGGGTTGCTGGGGAGACAGGTTCCTTTGGAAAGAGCCAGTAGCCTGTGGAAGTGAACAGCAAAGAGCTCCTGAGAGCACAGCAAAGGGGATACGGAAATTGGAAAGAAATGAAAAACAGAGTCAGAACAGCAGACACAGAAAGCAAATGAAATTCTGGAAATTCTGAGTTTCCGTACAACTGAGAGGAACAGTGAGAAGGAAGACACTGAGGTCAATTCTGAGGCTATATGGAGACCTCCCTCCAGAGTTAGTATAAAGATTATTTGAAGTGTCAACTTCTGAGCTAAAGAAGAGGCACAAAGAAATTGCGAATTTCCCTTGTCTTTCTAAAGCAGAGGCTCCAGAAGACACAACTGCCCTTCACTCCTCTCCCAGGGAGGAGGGGGCTTCCTGACAATTTAGCTGTGATGGAGATAGACTGCCTGTTTCCATTAGCATAAAAATGTCCAACAGAACAGTGATCTCTTCCCACTGAAGCCCTAAACCTCCTCCCTTCCCCCGCCCCTCTTAAAGTTGGTAAATAAACCTTTCATCTCTGGCTATTGAGTTACTTAATCACTGAGTGTTCTCTAGTCTAACCTGTGCATGCATAAATAAACCTGTCTTTTCTCCTGGTAACCAGTCTCTTAACAGTTACTTTGCAGGTCCCCGGGGGCATTGAAAACCAAATTCAAAGTGGAAAAGTCTTCTAACACTATTAAAGGAGATGGTAGAGGTGCAACAGTGAGTGCTTAGCCTGGGAAAGATAGAAGGACGGGGAGTTGGGAAATCTTCCCAAGAGCTTGAAGAATTCAAGAACTCCTTCATTCCTGCAAATGATGCTGAAGAGATTGGAGAAGGGACAGCATGTTGGAGCACCACATAGATCTTATTTCATGTAAGCAATCCCATTTAGAGAATAGAATACTAGCTTCACTAGGAGGTGTTGGTGTAGGACATCTTTCTTCACTGGCCTCTGGGCATTACACTCTGGGCTTTCACTGCTGCCTCGGGGATTCTCTTTCTCAGTCCCTTTGTTACATCTCCCTCCTCTCCTAATATCTAAATTCTGGAATGTTCTAGGGCTCTGTCCTTGACTCTCTTTACTTGGATATCTGCCTTTTGCTGTCTCAATCTAATGGCTTTAAACACCAAATGCTCTTCAGCGGTGGTTATCTATTTCTAAATGTTGTACATTTAGCTCCAACTTTGAGTTCCAAATTCATATACCAACAGCTGACCAAACATTCACTTAGATAACAGAGATGTCTCAATTTTGACATGCTCAAAAGCATTTTTACTCTCCTTTTTCCAAGCCCCCAGAGTACCCCATCTGCCTCTCAATTATCCTCCCCTCCCTGTCTCAGTTAATGGCACCTCAAGTTAGTGGTCAGGCCAAAAATAGCGTGGATGTCTCAGCTGATCTCTCTCTATTACTCTGCATAACAAATCCGTCAGGATGTCTTAGTCTCTACTTCCAAAAATTCATTCCTAACCCCATCCCATCACTACTCCACCACCTCCCTGAATCAAGCTGTTAGCATTTTTGGCCTGTGCCACTGCAGTTCCCCTCAACTTCTTGCCTGCTTCAACTCCCTGCCCCCCATAATCTGTACTCCACATTAGCAACCAAAAGTGATCTTTTCAAATGCAAATCTGCTCAAACCTACTACCAGGTGTCAAGCACTCTGCAATCAATGTTTCCCAGCATCTTTTTATGATTCCTTAAGCCTTGATTTGTACTCAGGAACCTTCACACCTGTTCAGTTTCCACACCCCTCCCTCTGCCCTACCCACCCAGGCTTCCTCACTACTCTCCCTTTCACTGCATGGTTCTTGTCTCCTCCTCCTGGACTCTCCCAGCTCAGCGATGCTCACTCTTTCTCAGCCATCAATCTTCTGCTCAGAATTTTCCTGAGCACACTCTACCAAATAACCTATAGCACCTCCTATTGCCCAGTTACTTTATTCAGTCTCACTGTCTTCAAGGTACCAGATACCACTTGAGACTTCATTTTAGATTCACAGTTGATCATCTGTCGCCCTGGCTAGAATGTCAGTGACATGAAACCCAGGCACCATGTCTATCCTTGTCATCCCTGCATCCATAGAACGTTGACTAGTACCATCAACAAGTAATATTGCTGAATGAATATTCTTTATATTTTCCATTTTATCATAGCAAATACTAAGTAACGACATCACAAATTGCATTGACTTACACAACTCAGTTTGACTTCTTTATGTACAGCAAGCTATTTCTAACATGATCCACCTCTTATATACTATTATATAAAGCCATGATAAGTAGATGGTGAGTTGTGAGAAGTTGTTTTAAAGCCAGATTTGAATTGGTATTCCTTATTCCACCCTGCAATGCCAAAGAAGAAATCTAAAGTCATCTTAATTTTTTCATACATGAACATGACAGTTATTTAATATCTTAAAATACCCTTTATGTATTTCCCCATTCAGGAATTTTTCAGGCCGAAAAGTTAGATTCTAATCACTTGATTTGGATTTTAAAGTAAGGAATATTATTTTTATGCAATTTTTCTCACTTCTCAGCTCTTTAAAAACATCCATATTTCAATGTGAAAATATATACAAAATAATACTTATCAGACAAAATATGTGCTCAAACATTAGTGCTCAGGAACATTATTCTTCTTACTCTTGTCTCCCAACATGTTCCTCTGCTTCATGAAACGCTGGCAATGTGAAATTAAAGAAATTGGAGACAGCCATTACATGGTGAAAAAAATAAACTGATTTAAATTTCATTTAAAATCATAGCTTTGAATAGTTAAAGTGTATCTTAAATAGTAAAAGGAATTGAAAGTAAAAGTTTTTAAGAGTAGACAATTAAAACTAAATTTTTGGTTTTAATGTAGGTTATAATCAAACTGGGCTCTTGTTAGTTTCCTCAAAAAATGGCACAGAATCTCTAGGTGAAATGGATACCCCATGAGGTACAACTCACGTCCCTAAAAAAAATTGCACATTAGAATTTCCTTTTTCAGCACAGACCTTTTGAACACAGCAAAACTATGAAAATTAAACTTTAGAACCACATGAGAAAGAGCAATGATAACCAGCTATTGGACTGATTTTACTGAGTTTGACCTGTGAAAAACACAAAATGCAGATTTTTGGGGAACTCAGGAATTCACACAAGCTTTGGCTTTTGTCTAGAATATTCTTTACCCCGATCCTTCCTTGGCTGAACTCTACTCTCCCAGAAGATCTCAGCCCAGTTCTGTCTCCTTCTGTGAAAGCTTTGTGGCCACAACACCTGGGTTAGGCATCCCTCCCAAGAGTTTGCAGGGCACTGTACATTAGTCATACTTGTACATACTAGCATCACAAGGGTCAATTTGCTTGTCTCTAACCCATAATAAATTTTAAGCTGCTTATGGGCAGAAGCTGATTATCCTCTTCACCAATGTGGATGTCACAAAGCTGGTACTAACAGTTTATGATAGTGCTTTCATTACGCAAGGCACTGTGTACCAGCTAATCATTGCACTTATCCACTGCACCTGAGCATAGACACGGCACCTATTATTTTGTATGGAATCAGGAGAGCAACGCACTGCTACCAATCCATCAGATTCGGACAGCAATAGTATCAACTATTCATCAAACGTTTCATGAAAAAGGTAGCATCGAAAAACTTTAGCTGACACTACTAATGTGTTATAAATTTCTTTTGCTTTAAGGTACCCGAAACCTAAGAAGCCTAAAAAAAATACATTATTTCCCTCTCAACATCTACACTTGACTAAATAACTAATTCACTTTAAGTCCATGATCCCTATTTTCCAAGGGATGCAAATAGGAGGGAAAATATCTTAAGTCCCTATAAAAGCAAAAAGTTAGATGAAAACAACTCCCTCTCCTGCACCCTTTTTTAAAAGTTCAGTGGTGTTTACAAGACATAATCGATTCCAGTTTAGGATGTAAGGAAATGTCTGTGTAACATTCTAACATGAGTGAGATTCAACAAACCGATTTCTATTAAATTCCAAGCTCAGGATGGCTAAGTCAACATTCGAACAGTGCTAGCTAGTGAAAGCACGGGGCCAGTGCGGCCAGCCACGGCTGAAAGCACAGCGAAAGCTGTGAGTGAAGGATGGCTGCGGGTCAGGTGCTGCCAAGGCCTCAATGTAAACACAGGTGTGTGGGAAGGAGCGCAAGGGCTCTCCGCTACAGAAACACTGGCAGTCACGCTGTGGAGTCCGAATGCTAAATTCCAAAACGATCTCATTTTTGTAAAATTGATACATCTTACTTCACATATTAATACCACCTCAACTTCAGTGGTTCATGAGGTACACCTGAAGCATTATTTCATAGTGAAAATTTAAGAGATTTGAAAGTGCGCCCCCACCCCCCTTTGCCAACTAAGTCTCCCTGCTGAGCAAAGGAGTCTGAAGTTATTACCACCTCATTTGCTGGCATTTAGCAAGGATTCTTTTTATGGTTGCATGGAATTAATGCCACTAGAGGATTTTCCCTGCCAAAGTCTGTTAAACGGCATAGTAGTCTATTCTAAAGTGTAATATATAATGGCTATCCTACAATGCTAGTGAATTGGTCAAAAGCAATAACATTTACCAACAGGTTTGGGTGTGGATAACATTTGTTTTCATTATTAGAATTTGGGTTTGTTTTTTATTTGTTTATTTTTGGTAGTTATTCCTTGAGATTTTCCTTTTAGAGGGAGGTTAGTGTAGTCATCTGATAACGTCTGTAGCTGTCAAAAATAGTGTACAAACAGTGTCTAGTAACCTCTGAGATAGCTAGTGATGATGAATACACAGGTTCTAAAAGCATATTCTGGGTTCACATTTTAGCTGAACAACCTGCTGCCATGGGATTGAGCAAAATAAAATGAACTCACAACCCAGCTCTTCCTTTATAAAATGAACATAATAGTGGTATCTTTCTGAGGAAGATTATTTTGCAGATTTAATGACTCAATATACAGACAGCACTTAGTACACTGCCTAGTAATAATACAAAATAAAGATCATTTAGTATCACCTAAATTAAATTTAGAATCTAACACCATCTGATATGATTTCCAAATTGTTATGTTATCTGCAAATAAATATCTGTAATTTCTCAACACAAATGTATCTCTCCTCGACTCTACCTTTTTTTTCCAAGTTTGAACATTTCTCTTGAGGCAATAATCTGCTGGATGGTAGGTGGTATCTGGGTAAGAATTGGAAAAATGTATTCTAGGATTCCATTAATAGCATGCCATGCTATAAGTCTTGTTTCAAAAAATAAATGACAAGTTTTAAGTCAAGCCAATAATCTCATAAAATTGAAGTGACTGTTATATCCCCAATTGAAGTTTGTAAAAGTAAAAACAAGTATATGCCATTCAGTGGTATCAAGTGATTCAGTAATAGTACACACAATAGTACGTATCATATATCATATGATGTTTGAAAGTAAAACATTTCCACTTGAAATGATGTCTACATAAACGAATACCATGTAATTCTCAAAAGAAGAAATGAACAAAGGCACCTATTTCTTGAGCTCTTAAAACCTTTTTCCTGGTATTAATCTTTTAAAGGAAATTTCTTACCTATAGACAATATATGAATATATGAATAAGTTATGTTCTCGCCTAACATCCCAATCTACCATTATTCTACATATTGTTATAATATAAAATACATATTGTTAAATCATCGTATAATACTTTTATAGGTTTGGAATTAGATGCTCTTATTATCCCTATTTTACAGATGAGAAAGCTTTTGTACAAATAAGAAAACTTAATGGCTATCCTAAGGTCACACAAAGAGTTAAATACTAAATATTCATGGACATCTGATTATTTTAAATCCTATCTTCTCTTTTAGATTTGGCACTCAGCTTTATGACCACAGCCAAGAATGGTGGTTCTCAAATGTGAGCAGGTATCAAAGTCACTTGGAGGGCAGTGAAAACACAGATTGAAGGCCCCTCCATCAGTTTCTGATTCAGCAGATCTGAGGTGTAACCCAGTATCTGCATCTCTAACAAGTTTCCAGGTGCTGCTGCTGCTGCTCAGTGCTCGCATATTGAGACTCACTGACCTAGAATTGTAACACTTCTAAATATATACACACTTAGTATAGTACTTCTGCTGACTGCTCTTCCTCCCCCCATCATCCCAATTTATTTGACAATGTAATCCCCACATAGGGAATAAGGGAAAGAGGAGTCAAGTGATACAAAGAACCAGTATCCCTTCCTAAACCACATTTTCCAATGAGTTTGCTAAGGTTAACAAAGCAACCAACCTAAGCTCACCTTGGTTCTCACTACATTCCTTTTCTAAAAGAACACTGCACTTTTTGGCATATTTCCTTTCTTCAGTCTTATTTTATAAATGAAAAAAAAATCCATATTACAGCAAAGGGCTTAAACAAAATGATAACACTATATTTGTGTTATATATCAAATTTTTTCTTCTGTAAGCTGACTCTCCCCCATATCTGTACCATATCATGTATCGTGAACATCTATGTTAGTCAATAACTAACTCCAGAGCTGGAGGACACATGAAAACATTCTTCTACGTGTTGAATAAGGAGGACCCAAGTGAAACTGTAGCCTTAGAAGTTTTCTAGGCAGAGAAAAGGCAAAGACTTGGAGAATGCTTTCATGGGACAAAATTCAGGCAGCAGGTAAGTCTACAAGAAAGTTAGGGTGGGAAAAGCTGAAAAGAGGGAGGGTAGATTAGTCTGGAAAAGAACTCTAGAGCAAAATTAAGATGAATGAAAAAGAGAAAAATGAGAGCAATGTCTGAAGTTTAGGAGGCAGTTAAGAGAGTGGTACCATCAATATTTTGGCTCAGAACAGTTTTAGTTAATCCTGCTCCAATCACCATCAGCATATACAAACCTGGCTGGGGATGAGGGAGAGGGATCTGATTGATAGAACAGCCTCTAATGTGTACTTAATGCACATCACCCCCTTTCCTTGGCATTTAAGTAGAGGCCATTCAGATCTGAAGTGATGTTACATAGAAACTATTTTTTCCCTTGATTATTAACTCATTTCCAATGATGAAGAAATAATTCCTTTTTTAAAGGATCCTGAATTATTTTCAGGTATCTTTATTTAACCTAAATAAATTCCACTCAGGAGTTTCAAACCCTGCACATTTCTGCTTTCCTCCCCTTTACCTCCAAGAGGATCTGCTTGCTGCCAGATGTGATGTCTGCTGAGTGAAAGAGGTGCATGTGCCTGTGTGTGCATACAGCCCGGAGTCGCCCTGCTGCACTCCCCAGGCTTGTGAACGCTAATCATATGAAGTGTTTATTCCTGAGCTGTTCCTTTTGTGTTTTCTTTGGGACTGCTTGCTTCACAAGGCCTGCTCATGTGGGTTCAAGGCAACAACAGCTTGAAGAGGGTTAAAGCACTGAGAAAGCTCCAGAATCCGTTGGAAGACTGTGGCTCCCTGTACTGTGTATGTGTGTGTGTTCAGTTTATTCTATTTCACCTTTTGATCTTGTCTTTTAACCCTCCCTAAGTATGGCGAGGTTTGGGTGGTGGGCACTGGCAGGGGGTGGAGGGTGATGATCTATTTTAATTTTCTCATAATAGAGCAGCAGTTTTTAGAATGCGGACCAGTGAAGAACACAGAAGTTAGACCAATTGGTTCTGTCACTCCTCTCGGCATACATAACTGTCTGTCGCCCCAGGATCTGTAGGGCATTTTAGGTCTTTGCCTCTGCAGTCCTCTGGTCTGATGTACAAGCACTCATCACATCCTTTCTCTCAGGGAACCAGGACCCCTCGATAAGAGGAGCCCTACCTCCATCGCCCTGCTCTCCTGCCAGGTTAGTCTATATCTCTGGTTAGATTTTTTTTCTCTTTTACTATGGTTTTTTTTAGAATTTTTATTTGCATTGTCTAAAACAGGGTATCACATACATGATGGAAATGGAAATTCCTACTTTTTCTTAACTTTCGTCTGCTGTAAAACAAGGTAAAAGACATTCAGTAAAAAGAGGAATAATTTAACAAGACAATTAGAATCATTTTGTTTCCACATGCAACACTTGTATTACACATACACTCCAAAATTACAATTCTACTAATTGTAAAGAAAATTTCATCAATACTTGAAAACAACTTAGACATGGGAAAAGAATTTTAACTGCAATTTCAACTTAATGTTTTATTATTATCATTATTATTATTAATAAAGATTGTGCTCATCATAGAAGGAGAAAAATACCTATCTGTTTTATTTTTGTCAGGGTAGAATAATAAATAGCTGGAGAGGCAAAAGAGATACAAACATTCTCTGCAGTGCACAGAATCTTTGTTTATCTATTAATAATATTCCAGGTACCTTCTTAGTATGAAGTTCACTAGATGTCAAAATATTATGACAAGGTGGAAGCAGCTATAAAATTTCTGGCTTTTACAGTTTGTATGTCATTTGGTCCAGCTAACAGAAAGGCTAACACATTTAGAATTTATTAAAAATGAATTATTTTAATACTACTAACTTTATCTGCAAATGGCAACTGTGAGAAAGAGTGTGTTTTAAAGGAAAGGTTAGAAAAATAACAGAAGCAAAACAAAAACGAAAAGTTTGCTGGTCTGCAGTTTATTTTTCAAATCTTTGAAGTTGGAATCCTGGATGGTATACCCCATCCGTGAAGCTCTGAAAAGTTAGGAGCAAAGTTTTAAATGTTGGAAAATTGAAAGACACTCATTGTTCTGTATCACACACTACGGCTGTGAGAGCACTGTCATGTTGTGAATAGCCAATGGATGTCACTTTTTATCACCTCCAAGTACAAACCATCCATTAATGATTGCTCATAAGAGCTGGAAAACACAGCAGAGCTTCAGCTTCAGGTTCCTTAACGTAAGTACCTGCATTCTGATTCCTTGTGCTTCAGTACTAATAATGTAAATAAATCTTACAGCCATTGGTGGTACAGTGATGTTAAGGATCTAGCTATCTTCCACAGTTTAGGGGGTTATAATTTGGTCTTAATATTTCTTCCAGTATTAGACTTGGCATAGAAGTTCTTGATTGGAGTTGCAAGTTTTTTTTTCTCTTTTACAAAATATAGTCGAAATTAGTTTTCTTGTTGTTTAGTTAGAGACAGCCAAAAATAACATGATTTTGGCTGAATATACATACTTTTATGCATCTCTAATTTAAAGTAAGTTTTAACTTTGAAAATGAAATGTTGCAGACATTTGTGGGTACTGAAGACCAGGTCCAATTGGCAGGGCACTGATGTTTGCGCACGGGAGGCTATGCATGGAGTAATATTATTACCTCTTTAGCAAAACATCATTTCAATGAACCTCTACTCTGCTTAATATGTTGTGGACTGAACTGTGTCCCCCTAAGAAACCCATATGTTGATGCTCTAACCCCCAGTGTGGCTGTATTTGGAGACCCAGTCATGAAGGGAAAAGTTCAGGTTAAATGAGGTCACAAAGGAAGGGTTCTGATCTTATAGTACTGGTGTCATTATTAGAAAAAGAAGGGACCATGTATATAGTCAAAAGAAAGCCATCCACAAACCAAGGCAGATCTCACCAGAAATGACCTCTGAGCAGATTTTGGATTTCCAGTCACCAGAACCATAGAAAATAAATTTCTGCTGTTGGAGTCCCCTAAACTATGATATTATGTTATGGCAGCCCAAGTAGAGAAATACACAAAATATCTGAAGGATTTAGGATTACCTCAACTAAGTATTCATATTTGGTCACTTTAAAACCATTTTATTTTGTTCATAAAATTATTCAGAGAGGTTACTTTGATAACTTATGCTCTTTCTTTTAATACTTTTGCAGCATTCTTTCCTGACTCATTCCCATGGTCCTGTTTTTAAAATAGTCATTGGCTCTAAGTGGTTTTCAGAGTTCCTTTTTTTTTTAAAGTTTTATTTATTTATTTGAAAGGCAGAGTTACAGAGAAGGAGACAGAGAAGATCTTCCATCTGCTGGTTCACTCCCCAAATGGCCACAATAGCTGGAGCTGGGTCAGGCCAAAGCCAGGAGCTTCTTCCTGGTCTCCCACGTCAGCGCAGGGGCCCAAGGACTTGGGCCATCCTCCGCGGCTTTCCCAGGCACATTATCAGGGAGCTGGTTTGAAAGCAGAACATCCATGGCTCACTTGGCTAACCCTCCACCTGCGGGGCCAGCACCCTGGGTTCTAGTCCCGGTTGGGGCTCCAGTTCTGTCCCGGTTGCTGCTCTTCCAGTCCAGCTCTCTGCTGTGGCCCGGGAGTGCAGTGGAGGATGGCCCAGGTCCTTGGGTGCTGCACCCGCATGGGGGACCATGAGGAAGCACCTGGCTCCTGGCTTCGGATCGGCACGGTGCGCTGGCCGTAGCGGCCATTTGGGGGGTGAACCAATGGAAAAGGAAAACCTTTCTCTTTCTCTCTCTCTCTCTCACTGTCTAACTCTGCCTGTCAAAAAAAAAAAAAAAAAAAGAAAGCAAGCAAGCAGAACATCCAGGTCTTGAACCAGTGCTGCAGAAGCAGCTTAACCTGCTGTGCCACAGCACTGGCCCTGGAGTTCCTATTTTTCTTTTGGTTTTACTAAGGTATTCAATTAGCCTTGCCCTCTTGTTCTGAGGGCCAACTTCTCCCTCCCTGCCTACTTCATTCTTCAATAATCTAGGACTGAAACAGTTTTTTTTTTTTTAATCTCCTAAAACTTGCCATTTGTGGTGTTCTTTAGGACTTGGACATTTGCTGGGAGGAAAATTAAGGAAGAGGAGGAAGTTTTACTGGGTTCTAGGCTGCACACAGGAAAGGTTCAGTGTGAAACATCTCTGGATCATCAAGTAAGAGATCTAATTAATGGCTAGGTGAACGGATCTGAAACTGGGCAGAGTTTGGGGACGTTGTAAATTAAGAAGGCAGGGGTCGGATACAATTGCTGAGAGTCTATGAAGAGGATAAGAGAGCAGATGAAAACCGCCAACAATTAATAGATAAATTGATGGAGGTGAGACAGGGAGAGAGAGAGAGAGGTAAGAATTAAACCAAAACTATGTCAGAGAAACAAGGGGATTGGCATGGGAAAGGAAAACAGTGTGACCTTCAACACAGAAAGGCCCCTCCAGTGTTGATTTGGCTTTTTAAGAACTACACAATCTTCGCTGGTCTTACCAAGAATAACTCAGTGTGACAATGGGGCCACAGGATTAGCTATAGTGTGCTGAGGAATAAAGTGCATGTCAACTGCACTCTCAGATCGCTCATGAAGAGATCAGGAGAACAGGAGCTAGAGGAGTTTAGAGGCTGAGGAAGATTAACTTCACTTGTTTAACTGAGTGAAGACTGTTTGACTTTATATACTGAGAGAAAACATCAGTAAAGAAGATATTGAAATTCAAGGAAGGAAATACTTCTATTTTCTCAAAGAACTTGGTATCTGTCTGTTTGCTTTCCTAATGAATTATTAGAGCAGGAGAGAAAGAGAACTCCCTCCATTCACTAGATTACTCACCAAATGCCCAGGGTTGTACTGGGTTGAAACCAGGAGACAGGAAGTCAATCCAGGTCCCCCACATGGGTGGTGGAGACCCATTTAGTTAAACCATCATTGTTACCTCCCAGGGTCTGCATTAGCTGAAAGTTGGAGTCAGGTATTAAATCCAGGCACTTCAACATAGATGCCTGCATAGATGCCAAATGCCTGCTGCTCAAGAAACTTGTTTTGAAGAACTGGTATGTGTTATGTACTATGCTACCTTGGGAACCCAAGGATGGATTATTTTAATACAGTCACTGCCCTGTTGAGGTTCTCAGACTCAAAGACTCAAGGAGGTAAGTAATATTAGGATCGAAGAAGAGTTCTTCACCCCAAGAAGGAAGAGAATCAATTGTTTAACAGAGCAAGGGTAAAGTCGTCATGATGAATATTATGGAGGGGAAAGGGCAGCTGTTTGAAGAACTTCATAATTCAATGTCTTTTCTTACTCTGTGACACAGGATGTAAAGGAGAAGGTCCATAATAAAGATTAGAATAAGTAGATTGTTAATATGTCCTGAGCTCAGGCACATGCAAAATCCTAACAGCATGGCTAACTATGTGCCAGGAATAAAGAAGAAAATTATCCAGCCAGATCCTAACATGCAGATTTCAAAAGTTAGGTTAGAGGCAGGCATTTGGTCTAGTGTTTAAGATGCCTGCCTTGCATATCACAGTACCTGGGTTTCAGTCCTGGCTCTGAGTCCCGAGTCCAGCTATCTGCTAATGTGAGCCCTGAGAGGCGATGGTGACTGCTCAAGTAATTTGGTCACTGTCACTCTTGTGGGAGACCTGGCTGAACTTCCTAGCTTCTGCCTCACCCATCCCGAACTGTTGGAGCCATCTGAGGAGTGAACCAGAGATGGGAATTCTCCCTGTCTCTCCATGTGTGTGGTTGTGTGTGTGTGGCTTTCAAATTAAAAGAGGTTAGACTAAACAAAATGTATTAGTGAACAAATGGATTAATAAATCCATTTTATTAATGGAGTCCTGGCTGCTCCACTTCCTATCCAGTTCTCTGCCATGGCCTGTGAAAGCAGTGGAAAATGGCCTGAGTCCTTGGGCTCCTGCCCCCACATTTGAGACCTGTTGCAGCCATCTAGGGAATGAACCAGCAGATGGAAGACCTCTCTTTCTCCTTCTCTCTCTAACTCTCTCTCGAATAAATAAATCTTTTAAAAAAAAGTATCAAAATATAGTAAGTATTTTTCCTGGAAAATGCAAGGGTAATGGCTCAGAAAACCAACAGGGCACTAACATCTCTACAAAATATGGGACAAATGATGGAAAGGAAGTGTGGGGGAAAGAGCTGCGGAGGGAGATAGGATTAAAAGGTTGAGATGAATAAATGAAGGTATAAGTAGTAACCGAGCAAGAGGTGCACCTGGAAAGGTAAGGAGTGATACAGCACAAAAGTAGTTAAGGGGGGAAGGGCAGCATTTTGGCACAGCAGGTTAAGCTGCAACCTGTGACACCAACATCCTGTAAGAGTCTGGGTTTGAGTCCTGACTCTCTCACTTCCTATTCAGCTCTCTGCTAAGGCACCTGGGAAAACAGCAGATGATGGCCCAATGGCATGGACCTCTCCCACCCATGTGGGAGATCTGGATGGCTTTAGCCTGGCTCAAAACAATTTGTTGCAGCCTTTTGCAAAGTGAACCAGCAGATGAGGATGTCTCTGTCTTTTCCCCTCTCTAACTCTGCCTTTCAAATAAATATTTTTTAAAAGTCTGTGGAAAATGAAATTAATGCATATTTATTAAAACAAAGAAAGAAATAAAAGCAGTATAGAACTGGAGACTAAGGTTGGAGAGGAGGGGTAAGAAAGCTAAAAATATGGAAAATTGTGACCATAAGTTAGGGTAGGAGGATTCTGGAGTCCAACGAGATAGGAATCCTAGGAATGAGAGGATCCAACAAATGGCCATAAGCAAGTTACTGAAGTATTAAAGGTCTAAGAACTGTGAACTTTCAGAGCTCTGGGAGTCAGAGGAAGTCATGGCAAATGATTGACATTTGCCTTAGATTGACAAAATTGTGACCTATATGCCAAAGGTCTTGATAAATGCAAGAGATAAATTAATGTGCCATAGAAAGGTAGAAATGGATGTTAGCAATAAGTATCAAAGTAGGGGCTGGCATTGTGGCGTAATGGGTAGTTGCTGCCTGCAGTGCTGGCATCCCATATGGGTGCCAGTTCGAGTCCTGGCTGCTTCACTTCCTATCCAGCTCTCTGCTATAGCCCGCGAAAGCAGTGGAAAATGGCCTAAGTCCTTGGGCCCCTGTACCTACTTGGGAGACCCAGAAGAAGGCCCTGTTGCAACCATCTGGAGAATGAACCAGCAGATGGAAGACCTCTCTCTCTCTCTCTCTCTCTCTCTCTCTCTTCCTCTGTCGCTCTGTAACTTTTGAATAAATAAATAAATCTTTTTTAAAAAAGTGTCAAAGTATAATAAGTGTTTTTTCTAGAAAATGCAAGGATAATGGCTGAGAAAACCAACATGGCACTAAAATCCCTATAAAGCTTGGGACAAATAAATAGTATATTGTAGATAGTTGCCAGAAACATTGTGTCCTCAGCTGTGAAGGGGCCTAGTTTCAGTTAGGGCAAAGGGGTTGCATGGAGCATTCTATAGAAAATGAAGGATACAGTAGAATGTGCTCAAAGAAGGCCTGGAGAGCATCTGAAAATGATACATAGGGCAGGAAAGAAACAGCAAAATAGCACTGGCTCAGAAGAGAAACAATGGCTACAAAACCTTGGATTTCTGAGCACATCTTAGACATCAAGGGTAAAAATGAGGGAGAGATTGTACCGAGCAGAAATTTCGCACAAAAAGGTGTACCAATGCCTCCTGAAGTTCACAGAACAGCATTTGTTGTCCCTAGCCATGTAGGGGCTGGAAGCTGAAAGCTGCCCTTGTGTGGTACCTGAGGCACAGAATCTCCATTTTTAGGGCCTAGTTTCTCTAAGCCCACCATGCAGGATTGCAGGATATTGCTCTACATGGGCACAGATTCCTTGTGACTCATAAGATCGGACAACCTCCATTCTACTGAATTGAGAGGAAATCTGCTCTGTATCACTCCTGACTTTCAAACACTGAACTCCTTTACTTTCAGGATTCCAAGAAGAAATCTAAGGAAAATAGGAGAAGCAAAGAATCACAGGGCCAGTGCCACAGCTCACTAGGCTAATCCTCCACCTGCGGTGTCAGCACCCCGGGTTCTAGTCCCGGTTGGAGTGCTGGATTCTGTCCCGGTTGCACCTCTTCCAGGCCAGCTCTCTGCTGTGGCCCGGGAGTGCAGTGGAGGATGGCCCAGGTGCTTGGGCCCTGCACCTACATGGGAAACCATGAGGAAGCACTTGGCTCCTGGCTTCAGATCGACACAGCACTCTGGCCGCAACGCGCCGGTTGTAGCAGCCACTTGTGGGGTGAACCAACGGAAAAAGGAAGACCTTTCTCTCTGTCTCTCTCTCTAACTCTGCCTGTCCAAAAAAAAAAAAAAAAAAAGAATTACGAGAGGCTTAACTTCATCTGCTTGACATGTGAGGAAACCAAGAAAACACTAACAAATAATCCCTCAACAAGTTAACTTACCACACATTGATAGAGTTACAAATAAGTGTACTAACAGCACTCTAGGTACGCAAATAGAATATTTAGAGATATATTTCCTGCATTTCTGCCAATTCATCCAAGCTAAAGAGATTTTGTGGATAACACATCTGTCACCTCATTCAATTTTTTGTGAGTGTGAAAATTCAGAAGCATGTTTCCAAATATCACCAGTGTAGCAGCCTCTTTGGCTCCATTCTCCATGCAAGAGGAATTACCCAAAACAACAATGAGTTCAGGTTTCAGAGATACTATTAGGACATAGGCTAATAACAAAAAGAGTTACTCAATTTCCCATATGATTTATTGTTGGTTGTGGGGGAAACACTGCCAGTGGATCATCAAGTACTGTGACCCTTGCTTTTCAATTTCGTGGTTAACTGAATAATTTATTTCTCCTCTGCTTACTTCAAAGCCATATTTGAAGTGGCTATGTTTTGGTATAATGCAAACTACTTGCGCAGTGGAGTAGTTCCATTTTACATGTTCTCAAAGCTTTGTAAAATAAGAAAATTAGCACTTCTCATTTGTAGATGAAACATCTGAAAAATTTTTTTTAATGTAAAAGCATTTGGAATGGCTGATTACCTCTTCCTCCTCATAATACTTTCTTTTCTTGGCATGTGGAATACCATATACACTTTGGTCTCTTAGCTGTCCCTGTTCCATCTCTTTGCTGGCTAATTCTTCCTTACCATTCAACTTTTACATTGGAATGCTGCAGGATCCAAACCTAAGAAGTCTATCTGATCCAGTCACATGATTTTAATCACCATGATACTAACATGACTCACAAATTAGTATTTCCAAGCCAGACTTCCCAACTGAACTCCAACATGGCTATCCATCTGCAGTCCCCACCTCCAGCTGGATTTCCACATGGCATCTCCAACGTGACAAATCTGAAACACAAACTCCAGACTCCAGCTTCCTGAGAGTCCTCCACAAACAGTCTTCTCCATGTAATGGAAGGGCTCTTCCCTCGTTACAGATAATCTGGCAAAACACTTGAATTCATCTCTTCCTCATTCCTGATTTCAACCATAAGAAAGGTTCCATTAATTTTATCCTTAAAATACAACCGGAAAAAAGACACACCTAAGTACTTTCAGTGCTATCATCCTGCTCCAAATGGCATTGTTCCTTGCATGATCTACTGCAATAGCCTTTCTCTACTATCCTTGCCTCCAATTCTTATTGCCCCTACAAACCATTCTTATTACAGCATTACAAGATTATGTCATTCCTCTAAGTAAAGCCATGCAATGGCTTCACAGCTCAAAAGTGGAGGCTACTCATGGCCAGCCAGGAATGTGTCCCAAACCCTTCATCTCTTATCTAATTTGCCTTTAAATCACTCTCTGTGATCACACTGGAATCCTTGCCTGGTTCCTAGAGCAGAGTACCTGCCTTAGGGTATACACTCTTGTATAGTAGTACTTTTCCTTTCTTGATCATCTTTTTGAAAGGTATAACCCCACCCCAACACAATCTTATCTCCTTTTCCTATTTGGTCTCCACAGATCCTATGACTATCTGTCACATTATATATTCTTGTTATTTGTTTGTTTTCTTTATTTCCCAACTAAAATATAACCTCCATGGTTACCAGGATTTTTTTAAGTTTTGATCACCCTGGTATTCCTTGAATTTATGAGTCATGATGACATACAGTAGGTGTTCAATTCATACTGGATAATGAATTAAGTATAATTCACCAATGTGTAACTGTTTACAAACTGGTAATTGCCAGTATGTAAAAAAATTAAAGACATTTCAGAGACTTAGTCAATAAGGCCTCATGCTGCAACCTGGAGTAAGTTACTCATTAGTATTTTCCTTATCAGCTTTCTAGGAATTATCCTCAACGTTCCTGGTCCTACCTTTGGAATTTTTATTACTCTTCTTTCAGCTTTCTGAGTACTCCAAGTGTAGATTTTACATAACACCATATTCTTGTTTTAAAGAGCAGAGTGTAAAAGTGGGTGGGTGCAGTTTAGGAGTTCATAAAATCTCCATAGAATCTGAACAAGTAAAAAAAAAAAATCCCCTTATAATTTAATTACCATCTGTCTGATTTGTGCCCATAAGGACATTTATGGACATTTTAAATATGTGTATCCTAGTTTTTCTTTCTTGTGTTTCAATCTTCTTCAATTGTCTGTTGAACCTCAGTGATCTTTTCCCATTGAGGAACATGCCCATAAAAGTCTAATCACATGGGAATGTAGCATGGGTAGTGATGGCAATTTTTTGGTGCTGAGCTGATTCAATACTTGAAAACTCTTCTATCCCAATATGCATGATCTTTCTTCTGGGTACCAATTCCAATACCAGCTGTCCATATTCAAGCCAGATAACTACTTATTTCTGAAGGGACAAATTCTCCCATCATGTGCCTATGTAGATGCTCTACATACCATGTGGCTACTGTGACATTCTATCTTCAGATTTCAAATGCCCTTATTTTACAATTCACTTTTCATGCCTGCTGTTCATCATACATGCTATCCCTGAGTCTTGAGTCACTTTGGAATTCATCAGGAAAGTTCAACTCACTCCCAGGACCTGGGCCACTCTATCCTGCTTCTTCCAGTACTACTTGATAAATGACTCTGTCTGTCAGAACATTGCTATTAATATTAATCTCTCCTTAACTTTGTGATGGTTTGTTTATATTTTTTGATCCCTTTCTCTGAGGGGTCTTAGATGGTAAAGGAATATAATATGCCTACAAATGAGCCATCTTGAGCCAAAAATCTTCTCCAATCTTTAAAACTAAAATGCTAGCAAAACAGAAAGGAATATAAAAATGAGTATCAGGTTTGTAGGATTGTTTTTAAGGGATAATTTGAGGTACATGTATGTGAAAAAATAATTATTATCTAATTAAAGCATTTAGAAACTTCTCAAAATTTAGATTACTGGGCCACACCATTAACTGAATTAGAATTTATAGAACAAAATACACACATACTAAAATTTGAGAGGAAATGAATTAAAGGGATGATAAATGAAAACTACCTTTGGTTTGAGTACTTTTAAAGGGATTTAAATGTTTCTGCTTGAATTCTCAGAGAAAATCCTATTGCCTATTAAAAACCGGATTATCTATGATATGTAAGATTCACATATGTAGATTTGTTCTGGACAAATGGACAAAAACATGATCTCTTCTAATAGATTTTACTTTAAATCTTTTCCTTACATATAAATAAAAAAGGACTACATTCTAAGTGCTTACTCCACAGCCCTGTAGAGTAATAGGTGACGGCATGTCATGCCAATCAAATGAAACATGATAAGAGTGCAGTTTCTATGAGACTTACTCAGGATTTATGTTGACTATCCAAGTCAGGCATGTTAATAACTTGTGCCAATTTTAGTTTCTACTCTGCTTTCATTCCCTAAGCAAACACCAGGGGCTGCCTTAATGTAAACATCCAAAGTACCACATGCATCATTGTGGCCATCTGTTTTAGCTCCCATTTCTCATGGCTTCTCTAACTTCAACTAATAATGCAAACATCATTTAAAAATTAATCATCAACAGAGCAGTGTGAATTGTTTTAAGTTAAATTAACATCTCTGAAGATGACTAATGGAAAACATCAATGTGGACAGATGTTTTCATTTGGGGAAATGTGTTACATCCCTTCAAACAAATCCCATAATCTACCCCCACAATTTCTACTGCTTAACAAGTAATCAACAAAAATATAATAATATAATTACATTATTTTTCAAACTTATTGTTGTACCATATTGTTCTCATTCAGCTTGGTTTGACGGTCCTTTAATGTTAACAATATTAACAATAGTGGCTTTAGCTCCAAAAGGCATTAAATTTCTATCACATAAAATAAACCAACCATCAGATGTATTTTTCAATAGTCTTTACCCAAATAGAAGCATGTTAACATAACTTAGTTAGTTCCATACAGGATACCCCTGGTCTTTACAAACCTAAGAGACCAATAAATTCTCAGAAGAAATTCTAAAAGTAATTTTATCCTCTTCTCTTTCCCAGAAATGGCAGTAGCCAGCAAAAACTAATTTGGATTCACATGTCCTGTAATTTATTCTGTTGGGTGGGCATCAAGAGGAACAAGTAGGGAATGAAATGAATAGCTAAGAGCATGCTGGCCCCAACTAGATGATGTAATTTACTGAAAGATACCCAAGGCAGGCAAAGGCTACATGTTTCTTTAGTGGAAGTAAGGGACTCAGGTTGCAACTTAAGGGCTTACTACACACACCAACCATGACAAGGCAGCACTCTGAGGCAGAGGGAGGATTCCCCACCTCAAGGCTCAAAAGACATCTGCTACCAGGATAAGGTCTTCTTGGGTTGAAAATCTACTCAGGCTTTATGAAAGTTACCTTTATAGTTCTACTGGTGCATTTATGCTTTTTATTCTTAGCAACAGTTCTGAACTCATTATACACACCCCCACCACTACACACAAGTTAACAGGTAACATCCCAAACACATGTCTAAGTGTTGTAGGAATCAATGAAAGTTTCCCAGGTACGATGTTCCAGGTAAGAGGCACAGGATTTAGATTGTTGGGGTATTTTATGGGATAATTATATAATTAATGCAGTCAGTTTTTAACTAGGCTCCAACCTTACCAATAACACAGTTTTAGAGAAACGGGTGAATGTGAGAAAAGACTATCATAAGCTATCTATCATTAGAACTTTATTCCTGGCCAGCGCCGCGGCTCACTAGGCTAACCCTCCGCCTGCGGCACCGGTACCCCAGGTTCTAGTTCCAGTTGGGATGCTGGATTCTGTCCCGGTTGCTCCTCTTCCAGTCCAGCTCTCTGTTGTGGCCCGGGAGTGCAGTGGAGGATGGCCCAAGTGCTTGGGCCCTGTACCCGCATGGGAGACCATGAGGAAGCACTTGGCTCCTGGCTTTGGATCAGCGCAGCATGCTGGCTGTACCAGCATTTGGGAGGTGAACCAACGGAAGGAAGACCTTTCTCTCTCTCTCACTGTCTAACTCTGCCTGTCAAAAAAAGAGAACTTTCTTCCCTTGAATTGTATAAAACAGTCAACAGAGGAAAGGAAATGAACCTAGGAAGTCATCAAAAGACAGAAAACAAATTTAAATCAAGCATTAAAAATTTTGTTTCAATGAAAGCAGTTATTTTCAGTTAGATATGACTGTACTGTATAAAAAAGCACTATATTTCATTTATCAGCACTGAATAATGTGAAAATGATTCTCACAATAAAAATATGAAGACAACTAATTTTTTTAATAAGCTCTTCCAATGTATTCAATGGCAAAGATATACCTCTAATATGAACTGAACTGTATGCTCCCAAAATTCCCATGTTAAAATCCTAACCCTGGCCGGCGCTGCAGCTCGGCTCACTAGGCTAACCCTCCATCTGTGGTGCCGGCACCCCGGGGTTCTAGTCCTGGTTGGGGTGCCGGATTCTGTCCTGGTTGCTCCTCTTCCAGTCCAGCTCTCTGCTGTGGCCCAGGAAGGCAGTGGAGAATGGCCCAAGTGCTTGGGCCCTGCACCACATGGGAGACCAGGAGAAGCACCTGGCTCCTGGCTTCGGATCGGCACAGCGACAGCCGTAGCAGTCATTTGGGGGGTAAATCAACCAAAGGAAGACCTTTCTCTCTGTCTCTCTCTCTCTCTCTAACTCTGCCTGTCAACAACAACAACAACAAAAAAATCCTAACCCCAGAAAGTGACTATACTTGGAGACAGGAACTTTGAGGAAGTAAATAAGATTAAATAAGGTCATATGAACACACCTCAACCCTCTGATATCCCAAAAACAACAGATAAATTATATACACAAAGAGACACCCAGAATGAAAACTCAAAGAAAAAAAAAAAAGATCATGTAAGAACTTGGCAAGGGGATGGCCATCTGCAAGCACAGGAGAGAGGCCTCAGAGGACACCAACCCATACAACACATTGACCTTGGGTTTCTGCCTCCAGAACTGTAAGAAACTTGATTTCTGTTGTTTAAGCTCTCCAGTCTGCAGCCCAAACAAGGGAACACAACCCCTGTTTACACAACAATGACAACCTGAGAATGATCATGGGCTAGCTGGGTGCCCATTGCTGGATTGGGTACAACACTTAAAGTCCGCCTTCCAACTGCTCTGTCCATCTCACAAACAGTTGCAGTGTGTTTCCCAATTGCTATGCAATTATGTAAATATCAACAAAGTTCACTGTCTTACCAAGAATATTTATCTTTCTCTATTTTTTTTAAATATTTATTTATTTATTTATTTATTTTTTTTAAACTTTTATTTAATGCATATAATTTTCCAAAGTACGACTTATGGATTACAATGGCTTCCCCCCCATACCGTCCCTCCCACCCACAACCCTCCCCTTTCCCACTCCCTCTCCCCTTCCATTCACATCATGATTCATTTTCGATTATCTTAATATACAGAAGATCAGCTTAGTATACATTAAGTATGGATTTCAACAGTTTGCTCCCACACAGAAACATAAAGTGAAAAATAATAGATGATTTTTTTAAATGATGATGAAATCAGAGCAGACCTATTGTCATGTTTAATCCCAGTGAGAGTCAAGTTGGGAATTGATATTTTCTTTTTTTTTTTGATCTTTTTTTTTTTTTTTTACAGAGGAATCAGTTTAGTATGCATTAAGTAAGGATTTCAACAGTTTGCACCCCCATAGAAACACAAAGTGAAATATATTGTTTGAGTACTCGTTATAGCATTAAATCTCAATGTACAGCACATTAAGGATAGAGATCCTACATGAGGAGTAAGTGCACAGTGACTCCTGTTGTTGACTTTACCAATTGACACTCCTGTCTATGGCATCAGTAATCTCCCTATGCTCCAGTCATGAGTTTCCAAGGCTATGGAAGCCCTCTGAGTTCTCCGACTCTTATCTTGTTTAGACAAGGTCATAGTCAAAGTGGAGGTTCTCTCCTCCCTTCAGAGAAAGGTACCTCCTTCTTTGATGACCTGTTCTTTCCACTGGGATCTCACTCGCAGAGATCTTTTGCCAGAGTGTCTTGGCTTTCCATGCCTGAAATACTCTCATGAGCTTTTCAGCCAGCTCCGAATGCCTTTAGGGCTGATTCTGAGGCCAGAGTGCTATTTAGGACATCTGCCATTCTATGAGTCTGCTGAGTATCTCACTTCCCATGTTGGATCACTCTCCCCTTTATTTACTCCATCGGTTAGCGTTAGCAGGTACTAGACTTGTCTATGTGTTCCCTTTGACTCCCAGTCCCTTCACCATGACCAACTGTGAACTGAAACTGATCACCTGGAACAGTGAGATGGCATTGGTACATGCCACCTCGATGGGACTGAATTGGAATCCCCTGGTATGCTTCCAACTCCACCACTTGGGGCAAGTCAGCCTGAGCATGTCCCAAATTATACATCTCTTCCCTCTCCCATTCCCACCACCATGTTCAACAGGGATCACATTTCAGTTAATTTTCAACACTTAAGAATAACTGTGCATCAATTACAGATCTAAACCAGTCATATTAAGTAGAACAGATAAAAAAAACTACTAAGAGGGATAATGTATTAAGTTGTTCATTAACAGTCAGGGCTATGCTGATCAAGCCACCATTTCCCATAGTGTCCACCTCACTCCAACAGGTTTCCCTCTTGGTGTTCAGTCAGTCGTCACCGATCAGGGAGAACATATGGTATTTGTCCCTTTGGGACTGGCTTATTTCACTCAGCATGATGTGTTCCAGATTCCTCCATTTTGTTGCAAATGACTGGATTTCGTTGTTTCTTACTGCGGTATAGTATTCTAAAGAGTACATATCCCATAATTTCTTTATCCAGTCTATCGTTGATGGGCATTTAGGTTGGTTCCAGGTCTTAGCTATTGTGAATTGAGCTGCAATAAACATTAGGGTGCAGACCGCTTTTTTGTTTGCCAATTTAAATTCCTTTGGGTAAATTCCAAGGAGTGGGATGGCTGGGTCGAACGGTAGGGTTATCTTCAGGTTTCTGAGGAATCTCCAGACTGACTTCCATAGTGGCTTGACCAGCTTGCATTCCCACCAACAGTGGGTTAGTGTCCCTTTTTCCCCACATCCTCGCCAGCATCTGTTGTTGGTAGATTTCTGCATGTGAGCCATTCTAACCGGGGTGAGGTGAAACCTCATTGTGGTTTTGATTTGCATTTCCCTGATTGCTAATGACCTTGAACATTTTTTCATGTGCCTGTTGGCCATTTGGATTTCCTCTTTTGAAAAATATCTATTGAGGTCCTTGGCCCATCTCTTAAGTGGGTTGTTGGTTTTGTTTTTGTGGAGTTTCTTGATCTCTTTGTAGATTCTGGTTATTAACCCTTTATCTGTTGCATAGTTTGCAAATATTTTTTCCCATTCTGTCGGTTGTCTCTTCACTCTCCTGACTGTTTCTTTTGCAGCACAGAAACTTCTCAATTTGATGCAATCCCAATAGTTGATTTTGGCTTTGACTTCCTGTGCCTCCCGGGTCTTTTCCAGAAATTCTTTGCCTGTGCCAATATCTTGAAGGGTTTCTCCAATGTTCTCTAGTAACTTGATGGTGTCAGGTCGTAGATTTAGGTCTTTAATCCATGTTGAGTGGATTTTTGTGTAAGGTGTAAGGTAGGGGTCTTGCTTCATGCTTCTGCACGTAGAAATCCAATTTTCCCAGCACCATTTATTGAATAGACTGTCCTTGCTCCAGGAATTAGTTTTAGATCCTTGATCAAATATAAGTTGGCTGTAGATGTTTGGGTTGATTTCTGGTGTTTCAATTCTGTTCCATTGGTCTATCCATCTGTTTCTGTACCAGTACCATGCTGTTTTAATTACAACTGCCCTGTAGTATGTCCTGAAATCTGGTATTGTGATGCCTCCGGCTTTGTTTTTGTTGTACAAGATTGCTTTAGCTATTCGAGGTCTCTTGTGCCTCCATATAAATTTCAGCACCATTTTTTCCAGATCTGAGAAGAAGGTCTTCGGTATCTTGATTGGTATTGCATTGAATCTGTAAATTGCTTTTGGGAGAATGGACATTTTGATGATATTGATTCTTCCAATCCATGAGCATGGAAGATTTTTCCATTTCTTGGTATCCTCTTCTATTTCTTTCTTTAAGGTTTTGTAATTTTCATCGTAGAGATCTTTAACGTCTTTGGTTAAGTTTATTCCAAGGTATTTGATTGTTTTTGTAGCTATTGTGAATGGGATTGATCTTAGAAGTTCTTCCTCAGCCATGGCATTGTCTGTGTATACAAAGGCTGTTGATTTTTGTGCATTGATTTTATACCCTGCTACTTTGCCAAACTCTTCTATGAGTTCCAATAGTCTCTTAGTAGAGTTCTTTGGGTCCCCTAAATACAGAATCATGTCATCTGCAAAGAGGGATAGTTTGAGTTCTTCCTTCCCAATTTGTATCCCTTTAATTACTTTTTCTTGCCTAATAGCTCTGGCTAGAACTTCCAGAACTATATTGAATAGCAGTGGTGAGAGTGGGCATCCCTGTCTGGTTCCAGATTTCAGTGGAAATGCTTCCAACTTTTCCCCATTCAATAGGATGTTGGCTGTGGGTTTTTCATAGATTGCTTTGATTGTATTGAGGAATGTTCCTTCCAAACCCAGTTTGCTTAGAGTTTTCATCATGAACGGGTGTTGTATTTTATCAAATGCTTTCTCGGCATCTATTGAGATAATCATATGGTTTTCTTCTACAGTCTGTTAATGTGGTGTATCACATTGATTGTCTTGCGCACATTAAACCATCCCTGCATACCAGGGATAAATCCCACTTGGTCTGGGTGGATGGCTATACACAAATCTTTATCAAGATTTTTTAATGATAGTCTCCTTCCATTTTTCATAATAATAGCAATTTGTTCACATAAGTAGGTGGTAACACATGAAATTTTTTGCTTATATTTCAGTTGTAGGAAATGACTTTCTTAGTGAATTATCAGAATTCAGATAATTCTGTTTAAATTATACTTCAGGTAGAGTCTTTTCTTTTTCTTTGTTTAATTCCTTAATTTTATTTGAAAGAAAAATGCAAAGCACACATTTAAGAGTAATTTATGTGTTGAATTACAGCTTTTGCTAATTTGGGATTGAGCAAACTGTGTATATAAGTGTATTTGACACATGGATTTTTAGTTTAACAGGCTTAAAAGAAAAATTTTACCTTATTATGCATATTTTAAAGGCTTTTTAAAAAATTTTAATCAGTTTTTACCAGATTCAATGTTCTTTGTAGATACAATTCTAAGAACATAATGATATTTCCTTCCTCCCTTCTACCCTCTTTTCCATTTGTTTTTGAGATAACATTTTAAATTTACATTACAGTAAAAATGCTTAATACTTCACTGAATAAGAAGTTTAACAAATAAAAAGCAAAAGACCTTAGTTTCCTAGGGTGTTATAGGGTTTATAGACAATGGTTTATAGGGTTTATAGATAATGGCTATAAACAATAATTGAATGGGAAAAATGACCATTGAAACTATAGTAAGTATAACATTATTAACCATTGAATTCACAATTTGACCTCTAAAGATGACTTGAAACTGAAAATAGAGTATGTTACTTTAAACAAAGCCCAGAGATGTGTTTTTTTTTTTTCAATTACGTTCAATGTCACTGTTTAACTTTTATTTAATTTTTCAGTATTATCTCAGACAGACATGGAGAGAGCTCCAACCTGCTGGTTCACTCCCCATATTTCTAAAAACCATGGGATTTGATGGGTCCTAAGCCAGGAGCTAAAAATATAACCCAGGTCTTCAACATGAGTGGTAGAAATCCAATTTCTTGAGTCATCACTACTGCACTCTAGGGTCTGCACTGGCAGAAAACTGTACCCAAAGTCAGAATCAAAAATGGAACCCAAGCACCCAATGGAGAATATCAGTGTCAACCTATAGGCTAAATGTCGATTCTGAAACACAGCCAAAGGCTCACTGTGCTCCCAGATTGAGGTGTTGATATTTCACCAAGTTTCAGGGGCAAGATCTAGAACTCTTAGTAAGGAAAGGGTAAAGATTTTTTTCAAGACATTCAAATTAAAAAAGAAAAAAAAACCTCAAATTTCAATACCATGCTTATAACAAGTTACAAATGTATATTTACACTAAATAGTACTATGGTAATTATCATCTCAAAGATAAATTCAACCAATCACATCAGTAATTTTCAAAACCTTCAGAAAACTCCTCAAAGTTATCATTGTATAAATAGAATGGTCTGTTGTGAGCAGATGACTAGAAGTAACTAAACAATCCTAAGTGCTCTGAGCAATGCTGAACTAGTAGACAGTATATCTTACAATTTTCTGACATTTTCACCAGCAGACACAACTCATCTGTGCTACAAAGTAGCATCTTAGATGAATGAAGAGGTTGCCTAGAAGAAAAATACTTTGATTGGAAAGACATAAACTCTATAAGATAGCCACAAAGTGAGGTGATCCAAGCAAAGAGAACAGCACTGATAAAATACAAAATACACAGGGAAGTGGAAAAGCACTGTACAGAGTCAGTTGCTGCTACCTGAGATATAAGGGGAGGTGACAAAAGCAAAGGTGGCATAGCTCCACAGATTTTTAAACCACACAGAGTCTTGTACAGCATGCTTAGGAAGCTAGGAATCATGCAATCATGCTTTTAAGCTGATGTTATAATTCAGATAAGAGAAGGTCTTGGTATTATTTTCACTATAAAAATATTAAATTGGCAAGAGTATAGAAGACTGACTAGGAAAGGGAAAAAGAAGAGAGTACAGGGTGATGATGATATTAAAATTGAAGGCAAGACTGAAGGATGCCCACTGTCACCATTTGTGGGGAGCAGGGCCCGTCTCCCGTAAGATGGCAGGGCCTGTCGCCCGGGAGACAAATAAGTACTAAGACTGTGGACAAATAAATACTGAGGACAAATACTGAGATTACTGAGACTAGACTAAACTACTGGAACTGCTAAGACTAACTCTATGCATCTGATCTCCCACCATATGGCGCTGAGAGGGAGTAAACAACTTCCACACAGCTGCCTCACCAATTCGACTAACAAGCTGCAGGAGCTGATCCTGCCCCTGATTGGAGGAGAGCAGCGTGCTCAGCGCGTGGGGAGAGAACGCCAGCAGAGCTGGGATTGGTGGAAGAGGACTAAAGGAGGAGAGAGACAACATGCAGAAGGAACATCTGAGGAACCCCTGAGAGATCCGGCTGGCAGGCCGCCCCTCCGTGGAGGCGGCGGGGGAGGGGGGGGCAGCTAATCCGGGGAGGACCAGGGAAAGAAACAACAGCAAATCCGTTGCCACTCCTCCGCGAGCCTGCGGAGCAAGCGACAACCATTGCTATTCCAAATAGTCCTGGAAGTTTTAGCCAGAGCCATTAGGCAAGAAAAAGAAATCAAAGGGATACAAATTGGGAACAAATTGGGAAGGAGAAAGTCAAACCACCCCAATTTGCAGATGGCATGATTCTATATATAGGGGATCAAAAGGACTCTCTAAAAGACTATTGGGGGGCCAGTGCTGAGGTGCAGTGGGTTAATCCTCCGCATGCAACGCAGGCATACCATATGTGTGCCAGTTCTAGTCCCGGTTGCTCCTCTTCCATTCCAGCTCTCTGCTGTGGCCTGGGAAAGCAGTAGAGGATGGGCCAAGTCTTTGGGTCCCTGTACCCACAAGGGAAACCAGGAAGAAGCACGGCTCTTGGCTTTGAATCAGTGCAGCTCTGGCCATTTGGGGAGTTAACCAACGGACAGAAGACCTTTCTCTCTGTCTCTCCCTCTCACTGTCTGTTACTCTACTTCCCAAATTAAAGAAATAAAATCCTTTAAAAAAAAGAAAAAAAAGAAATTATTGGTGGTCCATTGCTGTGGTGCAGTAGATTAGTCCTCTGCCTGCAGCGCTGGTATCCCATGTGGGCACTGGTTCTGGTCCTGGCTGTTCCTCTTCTGACCCAGCTCTCTGCTATGGCCTGAGAAAGCAGAAGAGGGCCCAAACACTTGGGCTCCCTGCACCCATGTGGGAGACTGGAAGGAAGCACTTGACTCTGGATCTACCCAGCTCTGGCTTTGTGGTCATTTAGGGAGTGAACCAGTGGATGGAAAATCTTTCTGTCTCTCCCTCTTACTGTCTGTAATTCTACCTCTCAATTAAATAAATAAAATCTTTAAAAAAAATCCTTCCATATAACACCACTAAAAAATGCATGCTTTCAAAAAAGAGAGAGACTAACACCACTAAAAAATGCATGCTTTAAAAAAAGAGACTATTAGAACTCATAAAAGAGTTTCGTAAAGTTGAAGGATATAAAATCAACTCACAAAAATCAACAGCCTTTGTATGCATAGACAATGCCATGGCTGAGAAAGAACTTCTAAGATCAATCCCATTCAAAATAACTACAAAAAAATAAAATACCTTGGAATAAATTTAACCAAGGATGTCAAAGATCCCTACAAAGAGAATAACAAAGGATTAAAGAAAGAAATAGAAGACATACAAAAATGAAAAAAAAAAATCTTCCATGTTCATGGATTGGAAGAATCAATATCATCAAAATGTTCGTACTACCAAAAGCAATTTACAGATTCAATGTGATACCAATCAAAATATCAAGACATTCTTCTCAGATATAGAAAAAATGTTGAAATTCATATGGAAACACAAGAGACCCTGAATAGCTAAAGCAATCTTATACAATAAAAACAAAGCTGGAGGCATCACAATAACTGATTTCAAAACATACTACCGAGCAGTTATAATCCAATAGCCTGGTACTGGCACAAAAACGGACTTGTAGACCAATGCAACAGAATCGAAACTCCAGAAATCAACCCATGCAACTACAACCAACTTAGCTTTGACAAAGGAGCTAACATCAACCCCTGGAGCAATGACAGTCTCTTCAACAAATGGTGCTGGGAAACTGGATCTTCACATGCAGAAGTATGAAGCAAGACTCCTACCTTACACAAAGATCCACTCAAAATGGATTAAAGACCTAAATCTATGACCCGATTCCATCAAATTATTAGAGAATATTGGGGAAAGCCTGCAAGACATTGGCATAAACAAAGAGTTCTTGGAAAAGACCCAGAGGCACAGGCAATCAAAGCCAAAATTGATAAATAGTCTACATCAAGTTGAGAAACTTCTGCACTGCAAAAGAAATACTCAGCAAAGTGAAGAGACAACTGACAGAAGGGGAGAAATTATTTGCAAACTAAGCAACTGTTAAAGGGTTAATAACCAGGGCCGGCGCCGCGGTTCACTAGGCTAATCCTCCGCCTAGTGGCGCCGGCACACCGGGTTCTAGTCCCCGTTGGGGCGCCGGATTCTGTCCCGGTTGCCCCTCTTCCAGGCCAGCCCTCTGCTGTGGCCAGGGAGTGCAGTGGAGGATGGCCCAGGTGCTTGGGCCCTGCACCCCATGGGAGACCAGGAAAAGCACCTGGCTCCTGGCTCCTGCCATCGGATCAGCACGGTGCGCTGGCCACGGCGGCCATTGGAGGGTGAACCAACGGCAAAGGAAGACCTTTCTCTCTGTCTCTCTCTCTCACTGTCCACTCTGCCTGTCAAAAATTAAAAAAAAAAGGGTTAATAACCAGAACATATGAAAGATCAAGAAACTCAACAACAACAAAACAAAAAACCCAGTTAAGAAATGGGCAAAGGATTTACACTGGCATTTTTCAAAAGAGGATATCCAAATTGCCAACAGACACATGAAAAAATACTCAGAATCACTAGCTATCAGGGAAACACATATCAAAAACCACTGTAGAAGTGGGATTGACTCTTCAAGATTCAATGACTTTGAAAAGCCCTTGTCTCAACTGTTAAGGAACAGGTTTTTTTTGTCCATACAATTTGTTGAGCTCTTTACTTAGTATAGAGTTAATTGTATGTGTATACAGTTAATTGAAAATAGATGCTAGTAAAACATAGAATAGGAATAGGAGAAGGAGGAAGAACAGTGGTGGGAGTGTGAGTGGGAAGGTAGATATGGTAGGAAGAATCACTATATTCCTGAAGTTGCATTTATGAAACGCAAGAAGTTGTTTTTCTTAAATAAAAAGCTTCTGTGGGGGGGGGGAATAAAACGATGGTCACTAACCCATATAAGACAGACTAAGTGATTAAAGAAAAGGATTGAGTTATTGATAAAAATATATCAGTAGGGAGAATCAATAAAACTTGATGGCATGTTATAGAATGAGGTTATATAAAAGAAATAATGTCTTAAAATGCTGCTTAATTTTTTTGTATCACAAAATACTTCAAAAATCTAAAAATCCATGGTCCATTAAAACACACACTTAAGATGCTACAAACATAGAATACAAACATCAAATCAATCAGGAGTTCACTAATCTGAGAATCCATTATTAAATTTCCAGATTAGGAATCACTGATATTATTTTCTCCCATATTTATAGCTTGAGTGGTAGAATGGATCATAATTTTATTACCTGAGAAAAGTAATAGAGTTGGTAGCAGAGACTGAGAAAGAAAATAATTTCATTCTTATATTATGGAATTTGAGGTGCTAAAGGTAATACTGAAAGAAACAACAAGAGGGCAGTTGTATTTCTGGACCTAGAACTCAAGAGTAGGGTCTGAGCTGCAAAATATGGCTTGGAGACTCAATGATATACGAATTAGAGTGAGGAGAGGACAAAATCACCTAGTTAGAAGAGTTACCTAGAGAGTTAAGAATTAGATGGGGTGAATACTGTTAAGTGACATTCAGATCGTCTTTACAGAAACAACTTATTTCGATGGTTTCTGGGACTGCTGTTGGCAGGCAACACTCAAATCTCAGACCCCTGTGGAAGATTTCCATGGGTTTAAAAGAACGTGTGCTTGCCTCTTGTGTACCAGATCGCTACATCCTATGACTGCCTGACACAAGAATAAAGAATGCTGCCACATTCTCCTGACTTATTCCTCTATACCCTACCATACACAGCTATGAACAACTTCAGAGAGTTCCACACATGTTTGGCTGAGGATTACAATGATATGCACAACACCTCCACTTCTCCCTCTGTCCAATCCTGCGCTGCCCACAAACGATGAAGTCTCTAACACGTTGAGCATGCTACTGTCCATCTCAAGGTCTTCTAGTCCATCTCAAGTTCTTCTATCTGGTGACCACATCCTGCAACACAATTATCAAAAGGATGGATACCATCTACAACCTCCAGAGCAGAGCGAAAAAAAGAGAACTAAAAGGTTTAAAGAGGACAACTTAACACCATACATATACAGACACTTTTTTTTTTTAAATAAAATGGTGATTCAGTAACAGGAGCTTTATCAGTGTAATAAATAACTATGCCAAAGAAAATCATGTGATCCCAGTAGATGTCGACACGTATTTGTAGACAGAATTCATCTCAGACTCTTAAATTCATAAACTATTAGTAGCACAGAAGTTGGATGTTTCCTTAGTCTGATAACAAATATGATTCAAACAATTATAGTATACTTAAGGATGATACATAAAATGTACTCTCTTTAGAATAAGAAACAAACTAAATATTTCCATGATCATTACCATAATTTAATACTATTCTTAATGTACTTATAAAGAAGGGCTGGCACTGTGGCATAGAGGGTAAAGCCACTGCCTACTGTGCCAGCATCCCATCTGGGCACCAGTTCGAGGTCCAGCTGCTTTATTTCCCATGCAGCTCCCTACTGTGGCCTGGGAAAGCAGTAGAGGATGACCCAAGTCCTTGGGCCCTCACACCCACATGGGTGCTTCTGGAGAATAAGTTCCTGGCTCCTGGCTTAGGATCAGACTGGCTCCAGCCATTGCAGCCATTTGAGAAGTGAACCAGTGGATGGAAGACTAATCTCTCTCTCTCTCTCTCTCTCTCTCTCTCTCGCACTCTCTCTCTCTCACTCTGCCTCTCTGTGACTCTGACTTTTAAATAAATAAATACTTTTTTAAATGTACTAAAAGAAAATTAGTCAAGAGAAAGAAAATAAATATCAAAAAGGAGAAGTCTAATTTAAAAGTATAGTAAACAGTCTAGTTCTTTAGCAAGAAAACCCAAAAGAGTAGACTAGAGGACTGTTTTATATGACACCAACAATAAAATAAACTTATCTGAAAATAGGTAGCTTTTCTAAATACTGGTGAGAAAATACAGAAAATTTCAGCCAATAGTCAATTGAAAAGAATAAAGGACCTAAGAATACACCCAGTAATCAAAAAGATATTATGGTACTTGAAATACATATTGAGGAACATAGACAAAAATAGACAAACAGATGAATGAAAAAGAAAATAAAAAATAAAACCTGACACAGATGGGAATTTATTTTATAGCAAAGGTAACATTTCAAACCTGTGATGAAAGAAAAATATTACATAGCAAATTACCTTTTTAAAAACACCTAAATAATATTTTGGAAAGTTCTCAACCTTTACAAATAGATGAAGTATCAGTGGGTCTCCAAAAAGCTCACTGAAAATGCATATTACAAAAAAAAAAAAAAAAAACTATGTATGGATTTCAAATAAATTTTTGCACCAAAACAACTTTTTCATTCCATTTTTCCATGAAATGGAAGTACCCTCATATGTAAATACACCCCCAAAAAAACCCCATTAATTTGCAGGAAAGAAAGAAAGCTTACATTGTCAGAGTTAGGATGACTTCTAGGAACTCTGTAAAACAGAGAACCAACAGCAACCTCCCCACTACTCCACATCACACTAGGCCACTCCAAGCTCAAGGTCTTTGCATTTCCTGTTGTCCTTTCCTAGACCTCTTTCATCCATTCTGCCCCAAATAACTTCATGGTGTGCTCACTTCCTTCAGGCTTCTGTTCAAATGCTACCTTCTGGTTGAAGTCTTTGCTCTCAAACTGCAGTCGCTCTAATCTCTTTATTCGCCCTTTTCTTATCCCTTCATGGTCTCCTTAGGACTTGCTTCCACCTAATATCTTATGTATCACTTTACTTAGTTATCTTGTTTATTATCCGGCTTCCCCAACTAGACTTCAATATTCACGAATGCAAAGATGCTTTCACTGTTTTGTTCACTTCTCAGTACCTACAAGACTGCATGGAACATACTAAAAGCTCAACATGTATTTGATTAATCAAAGGAAAAATGAATAAAAGGCCAGAGGCATACAAATAAAAGTCCAACAAAAATGGTGTAACTGAAGCCAGAAGAAGGTTGGGGAGGGGGAGGGAGGATGAGTATGAAATGGCAAATAAATTGCTGTAAAATGTAGAGAGGCCTAGTTAGATGACTAGATAAAAATGCTCTTTAGAATGTCACTAATGACTTTGGCAAGAGAAGTTTGAAATACAGTTCTCCAGAGGTTCCTTGTATTTCCACAAGTTACTACACAGATACTGCTTTTTGTTCCAGAAAAAACTCTTCAAGGATGTTTGGATAGTGAGCAGCCTTGGAAGATGTAGTATTGACCACTAGACTAAAAGGTAGGTTTGCTAACCATATTGGAAGATGAAGATAGTGTCTCATCTCTGGAGTAAAAGGCAGGAAGACTTACTGCCTTTTATTTTAAAAAGAGGTTATTTGTCAAGATTCCTTTTCTGTAATGTAACTGACTGAATGTACAAGGACTAATTCTTCCTTCTTGTGTCCCCATATAGGAAATGGGTCTTAGAGAATTTCAACATCTTTTATACCTAATTTGGCTATTTCTGTTACTGAGTAATAAATTGCCTTTCATCTCTAGCTCAGAAGTGATAGTCTCCAGTCATTATTTATTCAACTATGCCAAGTTAACTTATCAGTGCACACAAGGTAAAATTTCAGGTATTCTAAAGTTCTATAGAGACAGGTGAAAAAAAAAATAAGACTTCATATACACCAGCAGCACTGACAAGGATCTGGTCATCCACTTCCACTTATTATATAATACTTTAGAAACATCACCTCAACTTATTCCACCAAGTGATGTCAGTTGTGTAGCACTTAACATAAGATAGTTCACCACAGTCATTTATCTATCACATCTGAGCTACAAGCAATATACTTATGCTGACCAGCTCTACAGTCCTAAGAGAAAATGAGAGCTATATAGATTAGATCTTACAGACTAAACTGACATCTTTTCATTTGATTATTGTTTACAGCCCTGGCCTATACTGCTGCTGATTTATGCTCTTTTTACTTTTTACATGTTGAACTATTTAGTGGAGTATTAAGCCTTGGACTGTTTTGTAAATTAAAAACACATTATCTCAAAAATTGAAAAGGAGGGGGAGGAAGAGAAGAAGGGAGGAGAAAAGAAATATCATATTCTTAGAATTGTATCTATGAACTACACTGAATCTTTTCTCTTTGTATTAATATCACATCATGAGAACTGATGAAATTTGTGTTGCAGCATTGTCATACATATTTTGTTGCTCTACCTTCCCTAAAAATCACCCCTATTTCTCATTACAATGTGGCTCAATATCTTATGCAAATTCCAAAAAATTATTACAGAGTAAGACTGCAGAAGGACAACACCCTTTCCTTTTAAATATATCTCAAATGTTATACCTGCCAAATCTCCTTACATCCAACTGATCAAATAAAAATAATACGGCCATGTCTAACTGCAAGGGAGATAAGAAAACTTATTTTTAGAATCCTATGAATACCCAAAAATTAGGAGTGTACTGCTGTGAAAGAAGGAAATAATGGAAATTTGAGTACAACTAACATTCTTCACCACAATATACCCATTTGGCAACCCAAAAATCCATGCACATCTTTTATATAGAACAAATTCATCAATTTCTACAAAAGAGAAATGCCCAAAGTGCTAACAATTACTGCACCCAGATAAATTCTCTCACCTCTGGAGATATTTAAAAATGGGTGTGAAACCTCATGGCACAGCGGGTTAATGCCCTGGCCTGAAGCACCAGCATCCCATATGGGCATCAGCTCTAGTCCCTACTGCTCCTCTGCCGAACCAGCTCTCTGCTATGGCCTGGGATAGCAGTAAAAGATGGCCCGAGTCCTTGGGCCCCTGCACCTGTGTTGGGGACCTAGAAGAAGCTCCTGGCTTCAGATTGGCACAGCTCCGGCCATTGAGGTCATCAGGGGAGTGACCCATTGAATGGAAGACCTACCTCTCTCTCTGTCTTTCAAATAAATAAAATAAATCTTAAAAAAATTAAAAAAAAATTAACCTCATGGCTTGTACCTAGGCTTATGGTGAAATTAGATACAGCAATCCAAATTCTCATGAGAAAAGGGGAGAGAGAAACACATAGCAGACACTGGGACATGGCAATAATCGCATGCCACCAGATATAAGCACCTTGCTTGGACCCATCTGGAAGCCTTGATTTTGCTTTGAAAAAAAAAATTTCATATCCTTGCAAAGCCTTAGTTCTTTCTTGGAGACTTCAAAGTTGTCATAGACTACTTCTTGCTGGTCCAGGTTTGGCAGTACAGTGATTATCTTGAAGATTGAACAGTTACAGGCTTTTGCAGGCCATGTTGTTGTTCTTTATCCACACAATTCCCTCAAAAACCTAGTAAGCTTCTAGGCAATTTGTTTTGGATAAATTCCCTATGTAAATACTATAGCCAAAGATTTAATCTAGATGTCATTTTTAAGTATAAAGACGCTTTTCTTATCCACATGACTCATGTGCTTTTCTCACCCACTTTGTGTATGAATGCTGCATCCAGGCTATCTGAACCATTTTTCTTGGGTGGGAAAGCAATACCTTTAATTTGTTTTTACCTCTGCTCTGGTTCCTAAATCTACCAAAGCACTGAGTTTATCTCCTACTAAAACAGTACCTTTGAAGTTACCAATTATAATTACTTTGGTTTGGAGTACAGAAGGAGTTGAGTTTTTCGACCTTTCAGGGCCTCAAATTACAGGACTCTGAGTGAAACTATTTTGGTAACCCAGCACAAGGAGCCTTTCTTAGAACTGGGTTCCTTTCCCTCTGTTTGCATACTAGCTAACTCGAGGCTGATTTCATTTTTGCTATAGGATTTACTGAAAGAACAAGAAGTAGTGAACACACATCAAGATTCTGCTGTCTTCTTATGATTTCCCCTAGTTTTATGGTCTTGGTTAGCATGTGGTCTATGTTTTAGGATATTGCAAGCTACAGTGATACCAAGGTTTGGCTTTAGCACCAAGAATCAA